CCCCCCCCCCCCCCGCAGAGCAGAGAGATTGGAGAGGAAGGGATTGCAACAGAGTACTGTAAGTTGTTTGTGTAGCATGCCTGCCGCTCCCAGCTCCGGGCTGCCAGTGCAATTGCATTGCTTTCGATGTGTACAAGACAGTAAGCAGGTACTCAAGTATTCCAAAGGAGGAGTGGAGGAGTAGTTAGGAGGTAAACAAAAGCCAGAGATGTGAAACTCTTGTCTCTTTCCATCCAGGAAACACAGTCACAGTCACATGATTTCCCACTTAGCAACCACTTCGCTTAGTGGCGGAGTTGACAGTCCCAGTTAGGATCTTTAAGTGAGGACTACCCGCATGACCCTCAGCTTTGTATCTTCATGAAAATTACAAATTAGAAGTAGCAGGTATTGGTTAGTCAAGAAGGATATTAGCTTCTTCCACAGTTTTTCTTATTGAATAGAGTCAGATCAATAAAGGCTACATATAGGGAGATAAAAGAGGTAGAATGTTTCTTTGTTAAATGTTGGAGCACTAGGCACTGGTCTGTAGTAGATCAGCTCTCTCTGAAGCTAGCCTTTTCCTCTTCCAGAATATTCTCCTGCAGTAGCCAATCCCTCAGTTTCTAGTATATATGTCCAGCATAGAGTTCGTTAATTATAAATTCTTAGGTCTGTAATTTGCTGGGCATCTCTATTCCCTTGGGAATAGAGGAAATTGGGACTATAATTGCAACTCCCCAATCCCTAGGGATGCAACCCTACCTATCTATAGATTAAGCAGTGAAACCAAGATACATGCTCATCAGACTGAGTTATTAATTGATTCAGAAGATACTAAATCATTGGCTAGGGCCTTCTCTGCTTTTAATTATATCTTAACCCTTGGTAACCGTTACTGGAGGCTAAACCAGTAAGTTCTCAGTAATGTGCCAAAGCCTTTTTTGGATCTACTGCATCATTGTTATACAGTTCTCTAAAATACCTGTCCAGATCTCAGGTTGGATACAGCTATTCATAAAGTGTAGGATGGTCCACCATGATATAGAAATAAATGTAAGTTCTTATTCTTATTCCTTGTGCAATATATGTCCAAATATCTTCTGTAACAGCTCTTTTCTTTGAAAAGTTGTTCATAAATCCACTTTTGCTTAAGAAGATCCTGAGGTGATATTATACTTTACACACCTTGTAATTAGCAGTAAGCTTTAGCGACTTCCACACATTGTTTATCAAACCATACGTTAGAACAGTGCTTGTATTGTTTTTAATTGGTCAATATTTTTCTGGGATAATAATTTTTGTAAATCCTGCACCATTCTGTTGTAAGACTCTTAAAATTAATTCAGGACTCTGCAGATAGAAAAGAGAGAGAACTATACCCTGAATTTGCTCTAAGAACAGTTGCTGTGTTATTATCTTGTCCAGCTTGGGGACCACTTAATGTGACATAATCTTCCCTTTGGAAAATTATATAAATCCTCTGCATGAGGCTGCAGAGCAATATATTTTAAACATAAAGAGAGAGGGAAGTGGTCACTTTCAAGTCGAGGAATAATTTCAGTATTTTTTTTAAGCAGATCAGTCTGCATAGGCAATACAGGACAGCTGTCAAAACTCACTTGTGTTTTGCCTGGGCAAACCTGCAGTGGGCTTCTTTAGGCAAAATGGGGAGTAAAAACCTGAAGCAACTTTTGAGAGAAGGCTAAACCCATGAGTCTAAACATTTGTCAAAGCCATCTGCCAATCACAGCTAACTAGCTATTTAGTTAGTTAGTTAATATTTAGTGTTTTTCATGGGGAGATCACACAAATTCATTTATCGTTTTAGAGGATATCGCAGTATTACAAAGTTTAAGAACCCTTGCTTCATTGTGTTCTGTGGAGTTACCAATGCTTTGCTGTTTTGGGTTGGTTTTATGCTTTTTATTAGCCTAATGAATTAGTCAGACATGACCTTGCATCTTCTGTAATTCTATAGAGATATTTGGATCACTGGTGGACACCTCCCCCTTCCCCAGTTTACTTCAGAGGCTCATTTCCATGGATCTCTGCTTTCCAACTTTCTTTCCAACTTGAAGTGGCTGTGCAAATGGAGACAAGTGCCCTGGAGTTCTTTTCCACATTAATGCAATTGGCCCACTTAGACAAGGAGGTGCCTCACCATTGTAAATTGTCACTGCTGAACAATCCTGGCATGAATAAGGGCTGCTGGATCTTAGCCTGCCCTTAAATGACTACTCCAAAAGGGGGAAGAAAGAAGATGTATCTGAGTTCAAGGACTTGCTCTTGTATGTTGTAGTGTTGCTTCTTTGAGATGAACTGCTTGTGTTCTTTGTGGGAATTACAAAGCTCATAATTCTGGGTGTCTCTCAATGTGGATCCCTTCCCCTTGAGGCAAGTCCTAAACAACAGTTAGTTGTCTGCGGGCACTAATGCTAAAACCTAGTTTCTTGATCAGAGCTACAATTAGAAGTGATAGGATAGCTCTTCTTTTAATCTAATTTACTTCTATTTCCAAGCCTTTATTTTCTGCTATGCAGCAAGAAAACTAATTATTTTCATTTTGTTTAGCTGTTGTTACAGCTAACTTTACTTCATTTGCTTTTCTGATCTGTTTGTCTAACTTATTTTTGGCTTTTAATGTTTTAGTTTTTGTTATTTCTTTTGTAGTAATATTTAGTAAATCTAAGAGATGTTTATAACTTTGGAGATATGTCCAGAATTCCTAGTTTGTGTTTTAATAAAAAGAATAATTAAAAAAAGCTTTCAGATTAAGGATAGCTGTTGGTTCATATTAATATTTGCTAACGCCTTAATTCCCAGGGTTGTATTCAGGTGTGTTGTAAGAGTTAAAGGATTTCAATCTCTGCATCCAAACAAACTTGGAATGTCTTTAAATTAAGGAATATTTATCTCTACTGCAATTTATATAAGAAATCTTTGAAAATAAATTTTGCAATTCACTTTATCTGAGAATATGAGCCCTGTCAAGATATATATTGTTGTTAGTTCCATTGGAAATATTTGGAAAATGTGACATAGTAGGTAAGTAGATGTTGCTTAAATGGGGCTAAATGGGGTCAGTCCCTCATGCCAGGACATTTGAAACTCTCCAAACCTCCAAGCTAATTTATGTTTAAAGTGAGGAGTTCAGCTCTTTTGGAAAACATCACACAAACATCAGGATGCTAATTTTTATCAGTCTAGCCAGTCTTTGCTCTCGTACAATTCAAAGATTCCTCAGTAAATGAGAAATGTTTCAACAACTAAGGAGAGACCACTCATTTCAGTTGGATATGTTTGGGGTTTCCTCCCTAATATATATCTAAACATTACCCATGGTTTTTCTTGGATTTCTACTGAATAAGGTCAGAGTTATGTACTTGTATGTTATGATATAGCAACCTTCCCAAAAAAATAAGCAAAAAGTTGGACTTGGTACAGTTCTCTGGAATATAGAAGGTTTGGACCAGAACTCTGTATTTCGATACAGCTTCTCTTATTAATCCTTTGATGTAGCTTCTCTTATTAATTCTGACGTTCACCAATCTCTTTCACAATCTCTTTAAAAGGTTTTATGATTAGTTATCTTTGGAAAAGAGAAGCTGGGAATTCAACCAATAATAGTTTATTGTTAAATACTGCACAAAGTCTTTCCTGCCTCTTTTGGATCTCTGATGACTCATTGGAGCCAAAGATTCATCTCGGCTATCTTGCCATGTTGTAACATAGAAATGCTGAAGCTTTAATAAATAATTTGAATGTCAGATTTCCTATTGAAATTGAGTCTGAGATTTGTCTTCTTTTGTCTACCGTCTAACTGTAGATCAGCAGTTTTAAACCCTTCCTAATGTTACTTTATATTAAAAAATGCACATAATAAATCATATATTTAATTGAAAGAAGCCTTGACCCAGGCAATTTATGGCAGAAGTAGGATATTTGAAAAATTTCTCTTTACAAATAGGAAATTATACATAGTATAATAGGTGGTATTCATGCACAGAATTATTTCCTACTACGAAATATTTATGGTTACATTATGTTTTCAGAGGAACAACATGGAAATGTCTTAAGTATCTGATATTTCACAATAAAAAATCAATTGAAGCATAATCAATTCCTAAACTTTTAGGGCCATAGTATACTATGATTGACATATTAATAAAAAATAGTAATTTAACTGTTAACTAACTTCATACTTATGGAAACTCAAGGCCCTATTTTCAGAGTGACAAAACTGCCAAAAATAGTAATGTGGTCCTGACAAGGAAACATTTCAAAGGTGGTGGTGGTGGTGGTGATTATTTCTTGTTTGTATCACACTTTTTTCAAATAATTGTGGAGGACATTTAATTTCATAACTTCTCTATGAAAGTTTCTTTATCTTAGCTGGCCTACAGGACAGAGTGGCATGCCTCTCCCTTTGTATGAGTAGTAGCTGAATATTTTTCCTGAGAGTAGATATAGTTCCAAACTATGGCTTATCCTGATCCTTCCTCCTCCTCCTCCTCCATTTTTTACTTAAAATTAAGAACAGACATGATCAGATGGTGTTTCTTGCTTTTAACCTGTTTGCTTTTCCTTCTTAAAAGTATCCAAATGTAGAATGATCTTTAATACACCATGCAAATCAGCTTTTTCCGAGGCCTATTATGGCAGTACCGTTAGAATATGTTATTGCATGCAATGTCCTTATATGTCTTTTCAAAACATAAGGATGATTTTATGGCCCACGCTTGATAATGAAAAACTGATATAATACTGTGGAGTAACTCTGGAGCTACATAGAGTATACCCATACTTTGATCCTTTAGTTCAGCATTGTTCAATTCGTACCTTTCTGATCAGCTATTCTAATTACAGCAACAAGTTCCACAAAGCTCGAAGATCTGAGTTATTTGGATGGACAGAGGAATATTCCTTTGCGGACCTCAATTCGCTTACCTTGGCACAGCACTGCTGGAGGGAGAGTTCAGCAAGAAATAAAAGGTAAGACCTACACTAAACCAGTAATTTATTTATCTATCAAATTTGTCACCACCCATCTCGTTAAAAAACGACTGGGCGGTTTACAGAGCACTAAAAGAGCACTATCCTTTTTACGAAGGCCATATTACCAGTAGAAAGTGCAGAAGGTACATCCATGGAAAACAGTTGAAGTCTGTTTCTTTTTTTATGGCATTTCTTAGACCTGATTCATCTCACCTCAGTTTTAACTTCCATTGAAAAAGGGGGACTATGACTATGATCATGGAAGACAAAGGTGACTTATTTTTAAATATTATATTCTTCAGAGACAGGAGTTCTGGGCCTGGACCATTGCACCTGAGTATCAAAGTCAAAGTCAACATTTGACAGAACTCTTGCTTCCTACCTGGGTTTGTAATTTGCTGCCATTGTCCCCC